CCCCAAAACCCCAAAACCCCAAAACCCCTCCTGAGCGATGTTGTGTTGAATTTAGGAAGTAGAAAATGAATATACTACATTTACTCAGGTTTGTATATGGAAGTATCTAGAGCAAAATGCGCATCCCATTAGCTAGTCAATATTATGAAGCATAAGTCCTGAGTTTATGGCTTCTGAGGGGTTCCTGATGACGCCTAAAAATGGGATCGAATACGGCCAACGAATTTTTCATCGTTATACTTCCACCACAATTATTTTGACCAGACTTGTCTTTGCAGCCGATGTGGAGATACTTCATGTCCAGATTCACCTCCACAAATTCATTCAAGATTCTTGCGAATAGTGCACTAAAAGTGAGGACTTGGGTCTATTAATGATTTTTATACGTAAATTTTCATTTATTTCAAGTCATAATCTGGTACACCAATACGAATAAATTTGAAAAAATAGACTGAATTGGTAAATCGTGAGTAGCTTCAAATTAAACTCAGCTTGAGGTTTAGTAATGTTTAGTCCAGAGTGAGCTTAACTAGTGATAAGGGATCACTGACAGTCTGAAACCTCATATCTGTATGATGGCTTAAATCAAAAATTCATACCTTCAAAGTCTAATGGTTCAGGCGATGAGCCTGGTGCTTGCTGGTTACCTTTGTTGAGCCATTTTTCCCCAATCGTAAGTTATGAAATAAAGTTGAGCTCAAAGGCTAACGCAGTTATTAGGGATGTTTCTACTGGTATTAATCGGTTATTCTTCTAAAATGACCGGATATGAAGGGTACTCAGAAAGAACTTCCTAGATGATTGAAGAAACGGTGACTCTATAAGAATGCTGCTTCACCAGAGATCTAGAATCATGGCAAATCGCAGCAGAGTCTGACAATATTAGAGTCAAGGATACCTATCTCTATGAAAACTAGCGGAGTTTGGAGGATTTTCATCCAGCGTCAAAGCTTCAATTAGGGCTAATGGGGAAGCAGATATGAGAAAGTTTGTTTTGAATGTTATTCTTGCCTCACTATATAAAACCCATCCATATGTTCTCTAACCAATTGACTAAGTTAGAGTTTGTAACTGTTTAAACTTATAGAAATTAGTATATTCAAAAAGTGGTGATTGGATATTCAGCAGGGAGTAAATTCATCTTCACGATTTTTACACCTAGCCAGGCTAGAAGCAGAGCTTGGAGTCCTTTAGTGAGCGGAGATCAGGTGGCCTCTATTATAATACTCGGGCGAGGATTTACTGGATTATTTCATCTTTAAAATTCGGTGATCTTTAGTATAGTTATTATCTTTGAAACCTTCATGTTCATACAAAATTTCAACTGATGTAAAATGGCTATGATCATATGTGAACATACGGATTTTCAAGATTTGGTGAGGATCTCTTGCTATATAAGCATTGAGGGGTCTTGAGGTATATCAGGTATTCTGCATTCGAAGGCGAAGTGTTAATGCTTAGTTAAAAAATTCCAGGACTTCTGGCAAAAGTGTGATTATCTTGGTGACAAGGATTGGTACAAAAAGGGAGGAAATATAATGCAAGATACTATAGCGACTAAAAGGCAAAGACCAGATCTCAATTGCGTTATTATTAGGGGTATAAATTATGTATATACTGGGACCACCCAGCTTAGTTCTTGCAAGAGCGGGGGTTTCCAGCAACTGCTCTCTTCCAAGCAACCGCCATCTGTGAGGATAAGGCTTGCTTATCAGAGAACCTCCTTTTGTTTGGCTTCCTAATCAAGTTGTGAGTGAGGGGCTTGACTGTTCATTGAAGTGATTTAATAGATCTCTCCACTGAATGATCCTGGGAATCTTTCTCTTGAGGAATCAAGACAAGGTCCAGGTCTGTAAGATCAGACTCATTTTCAAATTTGCTTTCTTCTTCCCTGATAGTATTCAAGTCTTGTCCACATGAGGAAGCGGTAGTGGTTTCAGCTTTGAAATAATTCCTTGTGTGTTTTTGCACATCTTTCTCACTTAAGCAAAGCCTTGCCTGAGAATCTACATCAGATGCTTCGAGATTTAGAAGAGGGATACGAATGTTTTGGGTTGACATTTTACTTTATTTTTTCAATCCGGTTTAATATATATGGGGTTTTGGGGTTTTGGGGTTTTGGGGTTTTGGGG